CTATGGAATTACTTTTTAACAAATAGTTGTTTTAAAAATTCAAATAAATAAATAAATATTTACCAACTTTTATATTGTATAATAAGAATACGACGGAGTTCCTCATTTTAAATTGAAGCTTGAAATTGAGGGTTCATAGAAAATTTTGATTACATAGGTTGTTGGCGCGATGTACTTTCAGATGGAAAAACGAAATTCCAAAAAAAAAGTAAGTTATTTAAGAACTTATTTGACTCATTTCAACAAATTACACAACAAAAAATATGTTGTGAATTCAGCAAGAACACCTAAAATATATTTAATGATTTATATCAAGATGCATTATTAATGTGGTAGAAACTGGCTTTTTATTTATATTTCATTGAAAATCTTGGAAACTGGTATTTTTATTCGTGTCTAAACTTAAGGAATATATGAGTTAACTATCTCAGACATTAAAAACATATAAATGTGAATTATCATAACACCTTGAAAATAAGGGTTTTCGCCGATCTCAGACCACTTTGTGTCGTGTTATAAAATTAGTCGACTCGAACCGACTTTACCCGAATGAGCGTTACTTAGTCGAGTGTGGCGGCTCAAAAACTGCTAAGTTATCATTTAAAAATTCGCTCTAAGCAATAACAAAAAATATGATTAAAAAAGTATATAAAAAAAAGTCCAATAATTTACTTATTATGACATTATCAGTTCACTTAATTCATTTATATATTATTATTGTACCGAATATTTAATAATAATCATGAATCCATAATTTGTTAATTGATTATCTCTCATTCATAACATTCATTAATAATAATACAATTTCAAAATTTAAATAAGACTTTTTTAATACAATAAATTTTTTAAAAGTGATATATTACTGATACATATTTAGATGTATGAAAAGTCTGTTTGTTGACTGCAAGAAGGGAATTAGCATATACATCCTTCAGTATAGATGTGTTTTTCCTCTTTCGAATCCTAAAAAGACATATTTTGACGGCTTCTTGATGCCAACTATATTAGATAAATAGATAGAAAATAAACTTTATACTCAGACGAGGTCCCTTATGCATAACAGTTATGAACAAAAAAATAAAAACTACATCTACATCTGGCCAAAAATGACATTAATCAACATTAAAGAATATATATATTATCTTCAGTAAAAGTATATTAAAACAAATAAATAATAACACCATTTTGAAAAAGAAAAAAAAACATTATTTAAATGAAAAAGAACAAAACAGAAATCAGTTAAAAAATAAATAACAAAATAATATAAGCATGGGCTGATTTTTATAATTATAACTCAAATAATTTCAACAGCCATTCACCTCAGTCAAAATCTCTTTCACAATATTTATTTCATTGTACAATGTCATTTTGGAATGTGAGAAGGAATTGGTAGAGATGATATTTAAATGAGGACAAGGAAGAGGCACGGCGGATATCAGATGGCAAGGAATTTCAGAAGGCAGTGGATCGGGCAATAAGGTAATATTTAAATGTCTTAATTCTATGAGAAGGGATATAAAGGTCAGAAACACGAGATCTTATTTTCTGAGAGTGGACCACGGGTTTGAACTGTAGGATACTGTAGATGTAGGAAGGGTGTCGGTTGATGATCGTTTGGAATAGGAAAGATCCAAGGAAATATTGTCAGCGGAAAGAAGGGATGAGCCACTTTAACTCATCGTAAAGGTGGGACACATGAAACCACCTCGATGTACCGAAGACAAATATTAAGCAGGAATTCATGATTCGTTTCAAGCTGGAGTACCATCGGGATGCCTCCGTACACAGCACAGGCGTAGTCAAAGTGGAGGAAAATAAGAGAGTATAAAAGAAGCTTGCGGATGGGTTGTGAGAGTAGGTGGAGGGAGCGATGAAATAGCTTAAGGGTACCTATTGACTTACGGGAGATGAGAGCGATATGGGATTTCCAGGAGAGGTTTTTGTCTATGGTAATTCCTAGGTTTTTAACGGAGGAGCTAATTGTGATAGGATGATCGTTGATGACTAAAGGAGGAAGAAAGGAGATGGATTTAAGGATAGAACTGGAACCTATGATAATGGCCTGAGTTTTCATCGCGTTATTATTATTACATTAAGATAAAATATCCCTTTTCCTGCGATTTGAGCGAAGGTGAGAATATGTAAACATTTTGACGTTATAATTTTTTATACTTGATTCTTTGAATAAAAATCCACATTATGCCAATTTTTATAAATCTGTATTTTCTGTAAGTTGTGATGAGACGAAAGATAATTTAATATATATTTTAGGGTCGTTTTAAATTCGCTATTGAGCACTACTAATGGTTAAAATATTTAGCTTATTAATGGATAATGTGATAAGATCCATAGGCCAAGAAAAAAAACAACATAATTTCAATAATTTACTGATGTTTTCTTATTGCATTGTAACATTAATAAACGGGGCTCGATGGAGGGTTTATTTATTATCAGCCTATAATACATTTCTGCAAAAAAAAAAAAAAAAAAAAAGAACCCGTAGGAATAAAAAATCCTTCTTAATACGTTATATGAATTTCTGTACTATATTGAATATTTAAAAAGTATTTATAACATTAACAAAAATTCCGATCACTAATTTTATTATTATCGCTGGCATCTTTGCATAATATTGCAAAATAATATTCCTACAATATTATTTTTTAAAACTCCTTTACATAATAGACGAATGAGAAGCTTTTTCTATCTTCACCCTCTCAAGCATATATTCATGACTATGGAAATGAGGTAAAAGAGGATTCTAGAATAGAATTGCATTGGTTAGCAGGGAGGTAGCTACGGTTGGATTTTATGTATTCGGAATTGAAGTGGTCAATCTATTTCAAATATCATTCATTACTAAAGATATTGTCAATAATGCAGATCTCGATAATTATTGTATTATAATTTGATAGAACAAAGAAAAAAAAGTTTAAAATGTCAACACCGTTCAGAAATGAGTAAACTATATATTTTTTTATTTTTATTTATTTATTTAGACATATAATATTCTGTTACGGGACAATAATTATATTGATAAATGAACACATTCACACCGAAGTAAAATATAAATTTAAAAAATCCACATAGAAATTCTGTAGAAATATTCTATGAATGAATGAATAATATATACACTTTCATAAAAAAAAATAAAAAAAATGAAATATTGTCTTTGCTTCCGCAACTGTTTTATTGATAGTTTATTTTTTGTCAAATCAACTATTGTTAATTTTTTTATTTAATTTTAATTTTTCAAATCCCATAAATAACTTTCTTCGAAACCTTCTGTCATACTGAAGTTTTTAGTAGAAACTATATTTTTCCTAGTACACATACATTTTCACAGAAATGCGTTATAAAGACTTAGTTTGCGATTTAGCAGATATTTGAAATGCTTAAAGTTCAGTCAGTGCATGTGATAAGCGATTTTAGCATACTTTCACTAACTTAATAATATCTCAGAAAACAAAAATGAAATGTATTTCACGTGTATAAATCTGTTTCAAACGGTTAATGTTCAAACTACCCAAAAAGGAAAAAATTAATTACATTGCAGTCATATGTTGTAGAGATTGTTTTATTATTATTTTTATTGAATTATATAACATGCTATCTTACTTAAGGAGAATGGTGATAGTGAAGGAGTACATTCACGCCATAATTGCATGATCAGTTAAAATTACACAAACGTGAAGGCAAATGCATAGCTCCAAGAGATTCCGGGGCTTTACTCCCAACTATGTTTCTGGTATTGAAAGCCAGTGGCGTGCGAGCGGCAATGTATGTACAAGGCTAGAGTGGAGAATCTAGCCATTGCCCGAGTCTATTTATGCATACTTACAAAATATTTCTACTCCCATTGAACACTCGGAGAGGATTGTAGGAATGGATGGAGCTAGATTGGAGTAATAGTCTTGTATAATTTAGAAAATGGATATGAGACATACATACAGGAACGACACTGAGAGAATTAGTATGGCCCTACGCACGTTCCATATTTTTTGTATGGAATACATTCCCATTGTAATTAGATTAAAGAGGCCGGGGTGCGTTAACCTGATAAGCTGAAAATTTTGAGGTTAACTCTAATAAATTTTTTTTTTAAAAAGTGGGAGTGTCAAGATTCACATCTCGGGGCCTTCTAGAAATAAATATTAACCAAACCAGGTGGGAATCGTACTCACGTTGATGTTATTTCAAGGACTTTGGACCGACTGGATTGGCCATTGATTCCAGATTGGTTTCAAAATTTTCTTAAAGAGTAGTAATTTGTTATCAGTTAAAATGAATGATTTTCTATTTAGCAATTTGTGTAATAAGCCAAATCATCAGTTAAGGTCTTGTCTAATATGGGTTTCACTTTAATCTTTTATTGTAGCGATTAGAACAGTTTTCAGCTTTTTCCTAGTTAATTCAAAATCAATATTTTTCACAATCCCAACCACTGGGCTAATATCAAACCAAGAATATATATACGGTTTGATATTAACCCGCGAACAATATTTATAGCTTATCTCAATGGTTCCTTTCAGATACAACCAAAAATCGTTGCCTACATATTTAAGTTCACTCAACTTTTAAAAAACTCGTTATTTCCCCCCTTTTTATTTATTTATTGAAATTTACAACTGTATAACTAAATTTATTTTATATTATTTTTTCTTTTTGTATAACAGACCACGTAGATCTTTTACCGCTTTAACAAGCTTGCTCCTTCTTTGCCTTTTTTGGGCTATTACTTTCGATTTATCTTCACGCTGCTCAATTGCATCTTTGTTAATTCTATCTATCTATCTGTTTTTTGGTCTTCCACGTGGTCTTTTGCCTTCTATTGAGGCATTCATTGTAAATTTATTATAAGAATATAAAATATGATAAGAACTTATAAAGAATCTACCCATAGGTAGTACTTAACAACAATCCAATGATTAAATAAATATATATTTTTTAAATTGTATTTAAAAAAACCAAAACAAATATACATGATCTTGCACACTTACCATAAGATCTCCCAAGCCGCCGACTATATCTCCTGGTTCCCCTTTCTGACCCTTCGTACCTGCCACACCTGGCGGTCCAATCAGTCCTGGTCGTCCCGGCAACGCCTGCGAATAGAATAAAGCTTTATAAATGGAATATATTTATATATTTTCAGGAAGTATATTAATATATTTTCAGGGAGTATATTAATATATTTACAGAGTATATTTAAAATAATATTTTTTTGTAAAATATGATTTTTAAAAACAGTTCTCATATCGCCACCTATGTTTTTGATTAATAAACTTTAGCTTGTTTAACATTGAATAAATTGATTTATTTTGTTAGTTAAAGTAGTTAACTAACAAAAGCGTCATGACAGCAATAGGTAACCCATGGCCAAGCAATTCAATTATAAGAGATATATTGAATCATGGTTGGAATTAAAAAAAAGAACGGTCAGAGTGATATTTGTCTGGGTTCCATCACATTGTGGCATCACAGGCAATGAAAGAGCAGACCAAGCAGCTAACTTAGCAAGGAAGGGAGAGGCACCAGCCATAATTTCAATAAATTGTATCACAGTGGAGGACTGGGTACACGCAACAAAAAAGAAGTTGTTGGAAAATTGGGTAAATAGATGGAAAACTGAACAGTCAAAATTATTAGAAATAAAAAGAGACTGCAACAAGTGGGCTACTAGCACCAGAATATCCAGAAGAGAAGAAACCATATTGTGTAGAATAAGAATAGGCCACTGCCTGTTCACCCACGGGTACCTTCTCAGAGGACTAGGACCACCCACGTGCGAAAAGTGTGACAATAAACCACAGTCAGTAAAACACCTGTTAGTAGAGTGCAACGAGTTCAACAACATTCGGCAAAAATTGAAACTGCCAACAACAATAAAGGAGATACTGAGAGACAACGAAGATGGAGTCACCACCCTATTGCGATACTTAATAGAGACGAAATATTACAATAGAATATAGAAAACTAGCCGCCAATGACCCTCTAGGATAGAGGCGATTACAAATAAATAAAAAAAAGTAGTTTAAGTACATTTTAAATATGATATAACCTACATTACCTATGCTTAATTTAAATAATTCATTTATTTTCGGAATTGTAAATATTAGTGTTTAAAAATTAAATTTAAATGCCGTTATATATACTATTTAATAAATAATAAAAACTGTATTTACAGCATATGATAGGTAGAAGTATTTGAAGTGTGTAGGAAACAAACATAAAATGCATTATTAAACCTTCCTGATAGTTCGTAATTTAATCAAACCTTGATGTACATATTACAAGGAAAATATGGCATGGTACTAGTAAAGAAGATATATACAGGTTTCTCATATAATGTTTATATGATTAATAAAGTTGATTATTAAAAATGTTGGATAATATCGTTACAATTAATTATCTTGCTTTAAATATAATTTTATGTTTCAAGCATCAGTCTTACCTTTCCATCCTTCATGGCAGTATGGAACAAAAAAAAAAAAAAAAAGAAGAAAATAATTAAAATTTTGATAAATGAATTATTTAAACCAGGCCAGGAGTTTGAAACAGATTAATTACAATAAAAATCCAATCTATATGCTAATGCCTGTGTATCATTTTTGGGACAATTACTGTGTGAAGTTTACATTGATACGCAAAAAAAGCTATTCATCATATAAAGCTACTGAAAAATGTATTTTCAAAGGGATATTTGAATATTTGAACTTGATTTATTTATATTCAACATTTTGCATCGTTGCATTATCAACTTTTTTTAATAAGTATAAATTTAATACTTAAATATGAATATACATATTTCTCATTTATATTCACTGTATAAACGTTTATTAGCGGTTTGCTACACTTTTTTTTTTAAGATACAAGAATTCTGTACGTTTTGTAAGTGTGTTATATTATATGAGAATATTTTAGAAGGAAATTAAAAGAAAAGATAGAAAAAAAATATTTTGATTATTTCTTTAAAAAAATTATATTTGTGATTTTCATATATCAGTAAATATAAAAATGTTATTTTAAAAATAGTTAATCAATTGATACATAGGATTCTTATTTTATCGCAAAAGGTATAAAACAATAAAACTTTTATTAAATTTAATTTATATTAAACTTAATTTATCTGCAAAATGTCTGCCAAATTTTGGTGATTTTCAAACGTATTAGTTTTCATCATTTACCACATGATTCAAATGTATAATTTAATTTTTGCCCTTGCATTTAAAATAATTAATTATCGGTTTTTAATTTCATCATTCATTATAAATATTCTTTAGGTAATTTTTTATTGGTATTTTATTTTAAAAAACAACAACAACAAATTCTTTTATTATTATTATATCTATATTATATATTTTTGGATTATTATAACTTCGTTATATTATATATTGTTTATAGTATATAAATGGCCAACACAAGGCCGAAACGTTATGTATAAATAAAATGTGGAATAATTTAACAAGACTTTTTGTTATTAATAAGAAGTTTTATTGCTTTATTTTTTAAATTCATTTTTCTAATCACGTTTGTCAGAAGTACAGACAAGCAGTAAGTGTCATACCGAAAAGTAGAAATTGGAATAAGTGGTTGATAGAAGTGCCCAGCGGCGTCCTTTCCTGTCTTGATTTTAATATAAGTTTCCTGTCTTTTGGAATAAAAAAACGTCCTACTCATTATTTATTAATTAATTAATTATTTTAAAGTAATAGAGGCAAGGATGAATAATGTTATATTTTTTTTTTATTTGAACCAATGAAAAGATTTGAGTTTAGTCCAGTGAAGAAAAATTGTGATAATATTCACACTTAAAAAGACTCCTAGAGTTGCTTTTAAGCTACTTAATTTAAGTTCGTTTTTAGTCAAACCTTTTAACCTCGTGATCCTTGCCATTGAAAAAGTTCGTCAAACAAGCAAGAAAAAGTTTGAAAGCTTGCAAAGTTATAAAATTCACAAATCTTAGACAAACGGTTTTTCCCGTTTACGGTTAATAAATCCTATTAGATTACTATCGATATCTGACATCCCATGACCGCGAACAAGGAATAGTTGAATACCGACAATGGCCGCTTAGGCAACTCCATAATCCTTGGTTTACTACTTCAACTACTTCAATTCAATGGCCATTGAGATGTGTACCTTCTACTTTACTGCTAAGGCCTCATGAATATCTAGCACTTCTGTTACTGCTCTCCGTTGTGGATTAATAAAGACTTGTTTTACGAGAACTGTTTTCTGGAAAATGGTCCAAAATTGCTGGATATAAAGGAGCTTTAGAGTGGCGGTATTTCATTTAAACTAAGGATGCTGTAACGTAATATTTTCTTACTTCCTGATTATTTTAGTTTTGAAATAGCCTTTAACTTATAGCTTTCCGTATATTAGTATATTAAATGAGACAGAAGGGATACACGAGTTTCGTTCATATTAAAATTCATGTTATATCTGGTATTAAAAAAGTTTTTTTCATATTGTAATGGACACTGCAGTGTGAACAAAATTTGCTTCATCAAAAGTATATATATATATATATATATATATATATATATATATATATTTGTTAATCTATGATTTATCGACTATTTATTTATTTTTTCAAAGTATCATGACGTTCACTAAATAAATAAACAGCTATTCATTTTATAATTGAAAAGCATCGCTTCCACGGATAATTTTCTTTAGCCCGACGTTTCGGTTTACTGACCCATCATCAAAGAGAATATTAGATAGTCGATATCTCATTCTTCTCATTGTCCTATCATGCACATATCACAACATTTATAAATTGTATAAGAAATAACTTCGATTTAAAATATTTTTTTTTCCAATATTTCAGACGGATATTTTCCATTGTCATATTGCGCAGAGTATCCTAAGCAAAGTGACAATGTTGTAACATGAGTTGCAGGACAACGAGATGGATGAGATATCAACTGTCAGAATATATTGTCTTTGATGATGGGTCAGTAACCCGAAACATCAGACTAAAGGAATAAAAAAATTATCCATCTATAAGATGCGTTTCAATTATAAAACCAAGAACCATTAAACATAATATAACAGCTTGCTTATAAATAATAAATTAATAAACAATATTATTTTGGCATGGTGACGTATGACGTTTAAAGGCTTTATTGTTCTAATATTCATGCCCTAAAGTGAATACAATAAAAAAAAAAAAAAACATGTTTTTATTGAAGATTTATCCCAGAAAAAAATTACTAAATGGATTTTTTTTTTTCTATTATTTATTGAGAAATATTCCGATCTATCAGATGTAAGGACAATAGAAATAATGATAGAAGACTAGCTCATTCACACTCTGTATACAATAAATAATATAACAACAATAATATAAACTAAAAGGAATAAACTAATCAAAATAATTACTTAAATATACACAATGCTTAATTATGTACGTAAGTATGTGTGTACTTTTAACTAAATTACTAAACATTAAAATTACAAATTAGTGAAGAAATCCTACTTTAAATTGTTGAAAATTTATTATTCAACTATTTAATAAATGATGAATTTCATTCAACAATCGATAGTTTAAGAACGAGCAAGAATAATGAGAGGTACTTGAAACCTTATTACTTTTCCTCCTCTATAAGTTTTAGAATATTTAAAAATCAGAACAAAATTTGGGATAGGGCCAAACTCGACCAAATAGAACCAAATTCGGAATAGGGTTCTGGGGGAACAAGGAGGCAAGGATTTTGGGTGCGGTGAATGTCGAACTAAACCATATGTTTAGGCTAATTCAGAAATATTTGTTTCGGTTATTTTTTATTGTTTTGACATAGACTATATTTTTAAAATGAGTTAATACTATGTGGCGCTTTTTTCTCTTTTTTGTTTTTTAAGTTTGTGGAACGATGCCGACTTTGTAATATAATATCACTCTAGCGAATCTAAGTCTGCAATTCTCAATAGAGTGTTTTTTTTTTTAACAAACTCTAATAGGAAATGAATTTTGTTTCGTAAAAAATAAAATAGAAACGACCCCTGAAGTGTACACACAAATTTCATTGTGATTTTCTAAACATTCTACAATTTTAAGGGTGACGCTGACAGGTTATTTGTGATAATTTGTATG